GTATATATATATATATATATATATATATTCAAATTAAAGTATTAGATAAATATATACATAAAATGATACATAATATATAGATAATGTCAATTTTTGTTAATGGTGAGAAATATTATGTAAATCATGCATTCATTTAATTTAGGCAACTCTGCCATCATCAAATCATTGCTTTCATTAAATTATAAATCTGCATTAAATCAGTCAAACCTGGTTAGAGATTAGGGATGCACCGATATTAAAATATATTAATATGTAAGATTGCATAAATTATTATTTGTAAAACACTAAAATCTACAATCAGTTGTTTTAAAGCATCACGTTATAATGTACATTATGAAAAATGGATATTCATTTTGATATTTGTTAAATATTACATTAACCAGAATTATTAAATTATTATTGTTTATAAAGATTCCCTTTGAGATTACCTACCCTTGCCTTTACCTTTTGATTTTGTTAGATGATGGCAAAGCTAATCTAAATGTTAAGAGAAAATGTGCATGTACAATTCACCGTTCAATGTCAAAGGAATAAACATATCTAAAACTGTTAACCGATATGATTATTGTACATTCTCAGATACTGCCACTGAACTAATGTTTTTGTTTTTTTGTTTTTGTAGGATTGACATCCTGGTATGAGTAAGACGTCTGTCTGTGGTGGCAGACATGAACTGGTTGTCCCTACAGGTCTTGCTTGGTGGGGTTAGCCAATACTCCACAGTCTTTGGACGTGTCTGGCTATCTGTGGTGTTTGTCTTCCGTATCCTGGTGTTTGTGGTGGCTGTTCAGCAGGTGTGGAGTGATGAACAGAAAGACTTCATCTGCAACACCGCCCAGCCGGGTTGTGCTAACGTTTGCTATGACAATTTTTTCCCTATCTCCCACATCCGTCTATGGGCTCTCCAGATCATTTTTGTCACTTGCCCGTCTCTCATGGTGGTCGCTCACGTCAAGTATCGTGAAATGAAGGATCAAAAGTACACTGATGTCCACAAGGGTGAACACCTGTATGCCAACCCAGGGAAGAAGCGTGGAGGGCTGTGGTACACCTACATACTCAGCCTGGTGTTCAAAGCCGGCTTTGATGCAGGCTTCCTCTATATTTTGTACATAATTTATCAATTCGACATGCCAAATGTCACAAAATGTTCTGTGGAACCTTGTCCAAATACAGTTGACTGCTACATCTCCCGTCCTACAGAAAAGAAAATATTTACCCTCTTTATGGTGGTCACCTCTTCGGTGTGCATCTTCATGTGTATCTGTGAGATTTTCTATCTGATTACCAAAAAAGTTCGCAAGTACCTGCTCAGACAGCAAGAACGGAATACCGTCACAAAGCCCAATTACATAAGGGTGGATCCTACAGCCTCATCAAACCAGAATCTCAGCAACTCTGAAAAGGCAAAGGCCGCAGCTGGGGAGAAGGATTCAAAACCGGCATAAATATGGTCTGAACTGATTGTGACACAATCAAGCACAATAAACACAAATAAGACACACTGGATCTTGGTTATAATATAGATAATCCAATCATGCCATTTTTTCCCCTTGTAGATAATCATATAAACGGAAAATGAGAAGGTCATTAGAGTATTCTTGAGTCTCATTTACTAAAGGAGCACACCGCCCCCTAGTGTACAAAAAACAAAACCCTTTCAGAGAACAACATGGTGGGGAGGAGACCAGGGTTGCCAGGTTTTCACAACAAAACCGCCCAATTGCTACTCAAAACTAGTCCAAAACTAGCCCAGTTGCGTTTGGAGGGGGGGTTCCCCGGTAAAAATCGCGTTCCGGGGGTAAAATACACGTTTTTTGGCGGAGTTCCCTTGGTAAAATTCGTATTCCAGGTGCTAAATATCGTGTTATTGGGGTCGCTTCAACCAGCGGCAACAGTGGGAAAGTAGCCCAATTCCGCGGGAAAACCGCGGACTTGGCAACACTGGAGGAGACCGTAGTAGCATCCTACCCCTGGCCTAATATAGTAAATGAATAAGTGTCCACAATTATTAAAGTCTGAGCTCATCCACAAGACACTGGTTAACAGTACACTAAGAGACCCTTGAAAGCTGGACTGCACTAAACGTGGTTAGCATTTTTTGTGTTTGGCATTTTGCAAATCAATACTTTTATGATTTGCTCAAAAACAAATGTAATAGGCTACTTCAGGTACATGCACTGTATATTGTTTACAGAAATCATGTTTTCAAATATCCCACTGCAAGAGTGCCATATATTTGTCCTGTATATTGTATTTGTCCTTGTTTATTTTGCACATATGTACTTCAAAGTAAAACATGTAATACTAAAGCATAAATAAGTACTCCATATCTGAACATAAAAATATATTTCTATTTCTAAATTATCACTATTACAATTCATGAGAATATGGCAAAATGTACATTTATTAAACATATATAATTAAGTAAATTGGCCAATTTTGCATAAATAAAGAGTTGTAGGGTATACCCTTGATTAAATTCAAATTATGTAGTATGTCCTCCATAACAAAGGTTTACTGTTCTGACCTTTTATGGTATTAAGTGCACAAATTCCTGACAAATTGTCACGTCTTTAACTCCTGGATGATGACCTCCTTGAGTACCCTGATCTTCAATGTTGCTCAACTTATCTTTTTCCAAAATACTGTCTCCCCCTGGGGACACTATTTTAAATATTAACTTGGTCTCATGAGACCAGAGTATGGATTTCATTTGCAAAGGCTAAATTAATATCTTGTGTTTGGCTACAGCAAGAACTTCCTGTTGACAACAAGCATCTTACCAAAAATCACTCATCACAAAATGAAAGTGAAAGCCCGATTATTTATTTATTTTTATGTTTTTTATTTATTTTTGGTAAGGTGTACTAATTTTTTGCACTTTTCAATTCATCTCATTTCTGATTAACATTGACATGCTTCATTAATCAACCAAACTTGCGGGAAAATCACTTTCACTTTGTCTTCTTTAGTTTTGAAATTTTTGTTTGGACTTTGATCCCTCTTTCCGATTCTGCTGTGCTTTAATATTGTTTTATTTTTTCTTGGTGACAATGTAAAAAAGAATAACTAACTTTATTCCAGATGCACCATAAATGTGGCATGTCAAATTTCCAATACAAAATATTGAAAATGTTGTCCAATTTTATGAGAATTTAGTTATTGCAGTAATATGCAATGATATCTCCTATAGAAGAACAATGCTTTTTTGGGGAGTGACTCAGGAGTGACCATATCACAACAACATACACACTGACCTAAATAAACAAAGAATTTATTCCATATAGTACATAGATATGATCTGCACAGCCTTCCAGTCTAGATAGTCAAACAAAGGTCTAACTTATTCCAGTCAAGTACAAAAGCCTCATACCTCTTTGAAACCACAAAAGGCAAGGACATGCATGATTTACATCTGCTATAGCTAAAGAGACTGTTTTTAAATAATTGTCACAATGATATGGATCAAGACTCAAATCAGTTAACAGCAAGAATAACTAAGAAAAAAAAATAAAAATATGTTGACTTGTTTATTTTTATTAGTTAGAGCTTACTTAAACTTTGAATTAAGATAGGAATATCTGCTACATTTAAATGGTTGCTGAGTTTTTATTTTTATTTTGTATTTATTTATTTTTGTAATGTGGTTATTCATCGAGAATAAGTTATACATGTTATGTAAACCTTTTTAAATTTGATTAGTCAATAGTGACTTGTGTTGTAAACACAATGCTGCTGCAAAGTAAAAAAGTACACGTGGGAAAGCTAAATGATTAATATTGACACGCTTTTCTGGTAATTCATCAACCAAACTTGCTTTTCTCAAGGAAGACTAACATGTCTTCTGTATAAGCTTTCACTTTCAGTTTGTCTCCTTAAGTTTTGAACTTTTTTTGTTTTGATTATAATCCCTCTTTCCAATTCTGATGTTCGTTATTTACATCGTAGTGCAACAGATGACAAAATTCATGGTTCAGATCACATTCCAGATTTTGTCACATATCAGATATTTATTCATTTATGTATGTAAATAGGTAGGCAGGTAGGTAGATAGGTAAAATTGTTATTGATATTGGGCACTGCAGAAAGAATCAGAACAGAAAATGAAAGCCTCCAAAAATGGCTTAGCATCTTAAAGCTGCTTTTATATAGTAATAGTATTCACGTGATGCCATTAAAAGGAAAATAAAAAAAAGACAACAGCTTTAGCAATTGTTATATTTAGGTGCCTTATAAAGAAAAGCTTAACAACAGCGTTGCCTAAAAACCTGAACAAATATTCATTCAAAAACAAACATCACAGTGAAACTGTGAAGAAACCAAAAGTGGATTTGCAGCATGGGAATTCTTTAGATTAAATCTCATATAATCGTATTACACATAATCGAAATGAAAGTATTAAATGCATTTAGCAAAAAATGTTTAAACAATAGGCAAAAAAACGTCACACTGCAGTAACATTGCTTTGACTTGCATTGCAAATTGTTTTATGTATACATCGGTGTGTATGAATGCATGACAAGTCATCCTGGTCTCAAATTAGAGATGCACCAATATTAAAATTCTGCCAAATAACAATAAATCAATAATTATTACAATTTTATGGCTAATAACTGATAAACTGTTGATGTTAAAATTATACAATTGTGTTTAAATACTAAAACAATTAAACACTAAAAACTAAAACCAGTGTACAGTATGAGAAATTGATAGGCATCATGAGATTTGCTAAAGTTTACATTTAGCAATGTTATTAAATTATCAGTGTTTTTAAAGAGCGTCTTAAAGTGAACATTAGTTTGATGGCAAAGGTAATCTAAATGAACAAGTGGAAATAATCATACACAGTTAAATACCTAATATTGACATAACAATAATAATAATCATCATCTCTAATATCATTTGATAACAGATGCGGTACTGATATAATCGTTCTCTCTCTCGTTTTTTAGGACTACCCTTGTATAAAAAAAGACATCTGTTTGTGGTGGCAGACATGACCTGGATGCACCTAGAGGTCCTGATTGGCGGGGTTAGCCAATACTCCACCGTGGTTGGCCACATCTGGCTAATTGTGGTGTTTGTCTTTCTCTATATTTTGTACTTAATTTATCATTTCGACATGCCAAGAGTTGTCAAATGCACTGAGGAACCTTGTCCAAATCAAGTTGACTGTTACAACTCCCGTCCTACAGAAAAAGAAAAAAAAAATCTTCACCAAGTTTAAGGTGGATCCCTCGGCTG